GACTGTGGACCGTTTGACAGAACAACTGGGAAGCAGCATGCAAAACGTTGGGAATCGTTGTCATAGACCGAGATGAATTTGTATACAGTCCGGGGTCGTTGACCTGGAAAGCATTTTGATATGTTAACTTGTCGGATGCGGAAGGTCGGTTGGAATGTTGGATTCGCACAGTGTTCTGTACCATGTTAAACAAGTCTATTAACATATCAGCATGGCTTCGGATGGAAGTAGATGGCCGCCGGATTTCTGAATCACTTCGAGTGGGTGCGTTCTGAACACGGCGGGTTCTCTGACTGGGGACGGAGCAGGTGGCTTCCAGTTATACAGGATCTCTCTACACCTCTACAGTCCTTTGTTGGACCTTGACCGCTTTTTCAGTTTCTTAATCCTATACACAGTCGGTAGGACTCGTTGGACGGGGGATCAGCCCGTCGAAAGGCTGCTACCTACACACAGAACAACACAAACACGTAATAAACGGGCACAGATATCCATGCCTCGATTGGGATTCGAACCCATGATTCCAGAGTTCGAGCGGGCAGAGACAGTTTCTGCCTTAGATGGCGCGGCCACTGTGGTCGGCTCAGGTCGGGAGTATAGATATGATTATAGTAAAAAGGGGTTTGCGAACAATTGACTAGGGGTAGTCATCATGATTGGGGGTTGGACAAGCGGCTAACTCGTTCTTAACAGTTAAAGAAGGTAAATTTGTTCTTGTACTTAACTAATTAAGTACTGAACCATGAAGATCTATGGGGGAGTCCACGTATCCTTGACCTTAGCGATAGATGGAGATGAGTGATCAGTTCCACGGCCCAGAGGCTTTTTCTGTCTCCCGATATCCACTGGATAAGCTGCTGGGTTAGCACCAGGGACGGTCTGGACGCTGTGAAAATAAAAATATCTGCTGCTGTAGGGAATCGAACCTCTTACTGGTGTAGTCCGTAGCCTAGTAACTATATACACGGATCTATCCCAGCTTCTCGCGTGGTTTTACGCGAAAGCTGAAATTTCATTTCTCTGTACAGTAAACCCTCGCTAATCTGGAGTAATTTGGGGGGACGTCATTCTGGCTGAACGATAACCCGCATTAGTGAAGCAAATGGTGGCCCTAAAAGGGGGGNCCTTTTCGGCTGTCCATGACTGCTTATTCAATATATTCGCAGCTTCCTTCCATACTTGGAGGGCGTCTCCTCCATCCGCAACCTGAGGACGCGTCATGCCGTGGTGACAAGGGACCCACTTCTTCAAGAAGGGCTTGGCTCCATGAGTGAGTGAGTGAGTAAATGAAAAAATATTACTGTGGAGCGATTGTCTAGAAACTATAAAAAGACAGTATATTTATTCGTCGATAGAAAACTCAGAAGTTGTACTTATTTTGAATGTAACAATGCAGGATTGAAGAAATCGTCAATTTTTTCTGATCATGCACGTGACTAACCTGCCTTATTGAATTCCATGGTAAAGAGGGGTAAAGCTATCCCTGTAACAGGCCGTGAAGGCCCATAGGGTTGTGAGACGTTGAGAATCCCACATTATCTAGACAATCGGCTCAAAGATGGCAGTAAGGTTGTCAGCCTTACGCGCCGGCCGCCCTTTACCTCCCAGGAAGATTCCTGGTACTCATTTCCGTTAGAGGCTGAATCGACCCAGGGCCATAGTGCGGCTGGAAGGATTAGGTAAACTGAAAAAAAATCAACCTAATCGGGACTCGAACCCGCGACCATCCGTGCTGTAGCATAGTTCCCCACCCCCAAGGACAAGGAAGAGAAGGAAACGAATATAAGTTGGAAAATAAAAACATTTTTTCGGTGTAATCTACATACCGGTATTTATCTACAGGGACTGAGGAAAACCACGAATAACTTCAGTCAGGACGGCGGGTGTCCCTGCCAGATTCGAAGCAAGAACCCTCCGAATTACAGGTCTAGAACGTTACCGCTAGACCAACCTTCTCGGTGCTATTTATATGACTGCACATTACGTCTCAGTAGTGACTGGGTTCTGAATACATTTGACAACAGTGTTTACTGATGAGTCAAGGCATAGTCTGTCATTGGCTTTTATAAACTGAACCTACCGACATGAAGACAGTGTATGAACTATCAGCTTTTACATTGTGCTGCCATTTCTGTGAGATGTATACATTTAGTGGTTTCTTAGTAATATTGGCAGTCCTGGTATTTCCAGGTGAGAGCAACAAAAGGAAGAAAGCCTTCAAGCGAGAGGTTTAAAGAGCAACAGGTATGTGAACCAATGAGAGGGGCTCTGTTGCGTCACGTGACTAATTTCATGGCAATATAATTTTATGGTTAACCTGCTAGCCAAAGAGCTCGAATGACAAAGTGCATTCACTTGTAGAGGTTACTATTCTTCAGCATAAACGCACGACATCAGATTCGATATTAATTGCATCCTACAGTTCAGCTACCTTTCGGAGCCAGGACGTCTGGAAGAAGTCTCTTCCTCTTCACGCCTGTTCCATTCTTTCTCCTTGTACTTTTTCGTACTACCCTCTTTGCCTTCCATTTTTTCTTTTATCTTTCACTCTATCTTCTCCTCCATCTCCTATTCATCTCTCCCCTTCTTCTTTTTCTACTCCTCTTATTACTTCGAAAGCTATTCCTGTATGAGGCCGTGGAGGCCCATAGGGTTGTGAGACGTCGAGGCTCACACATTTTCTAGACAGTCGGCTCACGGATGTCAGTGAGGTTGCTAGCTTCATGCGCCTGCCGCTCTTTACCCGTCAGGAAGATCCTTGGTACACATTTCTGTTAGAGGCTGAATCAACCTCAGGGCCATAGTGCGGCTGGAGGGATTAGGTCAATTGAAAATGACAATGACCTCATCTGGAATCGAACCGTCGACTTTCCGGTTTGTAGCATAGTGCCTACTTGTAGAACTAGTGCGACTTCCGTTGACAACTCATCGGTATGTCTCGTCATTTGTTATATAAGCTTTCGATTAATTAACTTCCCTTAATTTCTACCTCATTAACTTTCCTTACCTACATGTTATCGATTGATACATCGACGGCAACGTTAAATAATAACACAAATAATCGATCACAAATCATTTCCTTTATATAGCATTTTACAGTTCATATATCCACATGAAAATATTATCATTATTCACAGAATAGACACGATACTCTAAATCAAAAGATCGTTCTCTCGTTTGTGACGTACTACATAACTCAAGTTCATGCAACGAGTTAACTCGCCATACTTCACGCTGTCGTAACCAGAAACTGAGTAGTGACAACGGTAAATCTCAAGCTTACATAATTTATTACCTATATTCTGTACAGAGAGATATAGAGAGACAGAAAGTGCGAGAGAAGGATATGTAGGCATGTGAATTATCAATCCCCGTACTCTATTTCACGTGCCTGGATCCCCAGTGGTTCTCTAGATATCGCTATGAAACCGAAAGCTAATTAATTAATTTTTTATTTTTTTAATTCGCTTAGTGGGGGTTGGAGTCCAACTGGGTCCACTCGGCACGGCGGCCACTGATTGGCCTATTGTAGCCTGCTCCGGGTGATTATGATGATGGAGAATTTGGTGGAATGAAGATTGGCAGAGAAAACCGAAGTACTCGGAGAAAACCCGCCCCAGCGCAACTTTGTCCACCACAAATCCCACTTGACCAGACCAGGGATCGAACCCGGGCCGCCGCGGTGGGAAGCCAGCGAATAACCGCTTGAGCTATGGCGCGGCCTTAACCGAAAGCTAAGTAAACATTTCATGCAGCCACCATTTTGTCTTACATTCTGCGGAAGAAATACCTTAATAATATTTGCTTCTTTTTTAATATACCTGTTACCACACATAATTTGACGTCCGTACATTAAGCGCCGCTATTGTCGGGCCTCCCTCACAGTTTCGTGCGTCTGTCGTATTTGTATTACTGATTACAGGAAATGAGAGAATATGAGTTTGGGATAACTTACAATGGCATAATACCAAATTTAATCAGAATGTGTCCAGCGGTTCTCGAGTTGAAACATGCGGACAGACAAACACGACGGACCCCATCACTTCGTGCACATAGCGCAAAGAAAGCATAAGAACCTGCAACTGAAGATGATGAAATTAATATGGTAAAGTTAAAAGGTATAGTTGTCCTTGTGCTTAACTATTTAAGCACTACGTCATGAAGACGTATGGGGGAGTGGATGCATAGAGCCACATCTTCTTAACCTCGGCATTAGTTGAAGGTGAGCGGTCAGCTTCACGCCACGGCCGCTTTATCCCCGGGAAAGATCGCCCGGTACTCATTGTATAGGAGGCTGAATGGACCCCAGAGCCGGTCTGGACGTCATGGAGAAGTGAAAATATATGGACCTAAGCTTATTTATTTTACGTAAGTTGTCATGGTTACAATTAAAGAAAGACAAACTGCCGAATTACTGATAAAAGTAACTGATTTTGAATTTTTAACGACATTTTTCCATGTACGTATGTTATATAGAGTTGGTTTAGAGAATGAATGCCCGTGATAAATCCCAAAACTGGAAGCACCAGTGTCCGATTTTGAAGTGGGCTAACCATTCTGGAGAACTAAGGCGGTAAGACTATAGACAGAGATATTCCTATGCTTAATCGATTAAATTCCAATCATGCTGGCGTATGGGTGAGTGTAGGTATAGTTCCACGAATCTTAAGTTCGGCACTAGATGAAGATGAGTAATTTTTTGTTTGTTCTGGTTCCTAGTTTTGGAGGTGACTCCTAGACATGCAAGCATGTGCTAATACATTTTGTAATACCAAATAAATGCATATGTACGTGTACATATATACACAAATATATGGATGTATAATAATTTATAGAGAATAAAACTTCATTTTATCCTTCTTGTAACTTCACAACTATTTTGAATTTTACTTGCGTAAATTCAATGCGTATCGGGGATAATTGCCGGAATCTCTGCAACCCGGAGCACACAACTAAATGACAGTGAACGGTGGAATATCTATGTGACTGAAGGTCTTTGACCGAATGGGTCTTGGAGTGTGTCCTCCCATCCTGTCAGTTTTCTTTCATAGAGAATGCTGCGGATAGTTCTCGTATAAAGCAGGTATAGCTGTCAATAGTGGAAATTTCGAAAAGCAAATTCATGTAACGATATGTGTGTGGAGTGAAATCAACTATGATTGGAAGCGAATACTCGTTGGAATTATGCAACGTGTTTCACACAGGCCAGGTAGGCAAGAAATATCAGTAGTGAGAGAGTAAATTGGACGAAATTTACCAGCAAACTAAATGGAGCAAAGCCCTTCTTGATAAACTAACAGCTGTTCAGCTATTCGAGAAATTCCCAGAACTTTCTAGAACTCGAAGGTTCATTACCATCCCTATCCTGAGCATGATAAACCCAGTCGATGACTTCAAATCCTGTTTCTTTAAGATCTGATTTAATATACTAACATCCACGCCTAGGTCTTCCGAATCTAAAATCTTGCACATATTTCTCTTTTCTCACATCTGTGCCACATGCCCCGCCCATTTTCTTCTTGATTTGATGATGCCAATACAATTTTGCGAGCAGTACAAATTATGAAATTCCGCACTGTGCAATTTTCTGCACACACTTGTTGTTCCTCGTATATTCATAAGTTTTTCGCAGCACCCCTACGCCTTTATAGCATAGTGCTTAATCAGTTAAGCACAATGACAAGTTTACCATTTTACCCTCTTCAAAATACCTTATTCCCTCAGTGTGAGAGGCCAAGTTTCACCTATCCGTAACTTCGTACTGCAGCGTTCACAGAAGTTGTGCCCAGTGTAGTGCCATTATCTAATTACAGAAGTCTCAGCTTCTTTCGTCAGTAGTGCATAGAACTTTTGGTGAAATAAAATGCAGAAATCCATAATATCTGCATATTATTTCTACATTTATATAAACACTGCTGATTTTCAAAAGAGTACCTGGTAATATAATGCACATCAAAACACAACAGGAGTGCATAATACAATCAGTCACACAATTTTCAGTGCTACAGATCATCTTTAAGGACACATTTAACAGTAAGCCTATTAAGTTAACATTCGATTAAACATTGCTGAGTATCGCAATTACATTTTATGTAATAAGATAATCATGTATAGTCCTTAGAACAATAAAATGTAAGTTCTGTTGTATAAGAACACTGCCTTAAATGACGGCATAATACAGCGAAGTATAAAATTTGATGTAACCTAACCTGACCTAACCTACAGTGAACGTCACATAACCTTGCATGATCAAACTGAGAAGTACCAAATAACAACATTCTGAAAGCAGTAATAAAAATATATTTAAAAAGTTTCAGTAACAAAGACATCAATTTTCGACAATATCAGACTTCTAAAAACCCTTGAACATATAACAAATCTGAAAATATTCGACACTATTAACTGGCCGAAAGTTTAGGAATAGTTTCAGAGGTGGAAAATTTTATCCCGATAAAGTATTTTTAAATATTCGAAAAATTGTGAATGTTTAAATTTTATAATTTAAAAAATTAAACAGTTTTGAAAATTACGACTTGAAAATTGAAAAAGCCTAATGTATGAGCAGCAACATATACTAATTTTCAGGTTCAGCACAATCCAGTATTTCCATAAATTTAAAAATTTGAAAATGTCAAATTAAGAAGTTGTGTAAAATTTAAAAATATGTAAATGCTGGAAAAGTTCCTAACTTAAAAAGCTTATTTTTTTATAATGTAGGACCTACTCGAAGAGTTTAATATTGCCGGTATTCTGAAAGGTTTAGCTATATAGCATTTTGGAAAGTGTACGAAATTACAATTTCCGAAAACATAGATATACCAAGATATTAAGAAACCAAAACACTGAAGATTCAGTAAAAATACAATAATTATCGAAAGCAATCTAAATATTAAAAATTACGACCCTGTCATAAACCCCCAAATTAAAAGCCGCGTATGGAGGGGGTAGGTCTGATAAGCCAAAATAATGTAACCTAACCTAACCATATCTGTAAAGTTCGGGGTTCTAATAGCGGCGAAAATTAAGAGTAGTGTAGTTAGATGTAGAATCCACCGAAGTTTCGGAGGAAAGTATCGCCTTCATCTTTAGGGTAGAAGAGTAATATGAGCAAGTGGAAAGCCACTCTTCGGTTCTGAAGATGGAGGCGATAAATTCCTCCGAAATATTGGTGTACTCCTATCGAACTACACGGCGTTACAATCCTGCTCTCAAACCTAATCTGACCAACCTTAACCTTTACCTGTATGTGTGCAGGTGGATGCGCAGCAATCAAACACACCAGCTTAAATTTGTACTAACTTTACTTATCTTGATCTGAATCTAACGTAACTACAATTCATTAATCTGAAAATTATCAAACAGAAAATTTCTGAAAATGTTTTAAAATTTAAATATTTAAGAAGTCTAGAATATGTAATATTCGTAATATTTCAAAAGTTTAAAAATTAGAATATTCTCAAGCATCTAAAAATCTGAAAATATCCGAAGATATAGACTCTTCAAAATTTCTCAAAGGGTTTAACATATTTAAAAAAAAAACCGCTGTGTATTCGAAAATATAAGAAGTTTCAACATATTCGGAAATTCCTGCATTTTTTAATTATAGTAGTTTCCAAGACGTAAATTTCCTTCCTAGTACAGAAATTTAAGAAAATCCGATGATATACATTTATTTTTTTTTTGTATTCTAAATTTAAAACTTTACAAGATTTTAAAAAATGCGAGATTTCTAAAAAAAACACCATCTTACAAATTTAATACTTTTTCTAAAATCAGAATTGACGAATTTCCAAAATTTCATTGTTTTGAAATTTATAATGCTTGACTATGTCCATATCATAAATTCTTTTGAAAATTTCTACATGAAAAAAGAACAAACTAAAATGCTAAAAATTAAAGTGATGGGAAAATTACATATTACAACATTTCAATAAATTTTAAATTTAATACCTTTTAACTTTCCATGAATTAAAAGTCGAAATTCTCACGTGGTTATCTAGAGTTTTGAGTCATGACCCTTTCTTTAACCAACATAACCTATCCAATCTGAACAAGTGCAGCCCAAATGCACAGGTGGATGTGGAATGGTCTGATGCTGTAATGTAACTCAGTGTAACTTAAACCGAAGAAGATCTGCACAAATGTGCATCTGAATGCACTGTGTTCTGATGCCCCAACCTAACATGGCCATACATAACCTAACCTAACCCAATCTGACCAAGCTGAGACTGATCTTGCTTGTTAATGAGCAGTTGCCTCACGTCCCAATATAACCTAAGCTAACCTAGTTTAACCTTCACACCAATACATAACAGAATTTGCATATGGGTGCTCAGTGGTCTCATGACTTACTCTAACTTCTAACCAAACCAAACCTAACCTAACATAGACTTAGGCAAACTTATCCTAACTGTATGAAACCGAAAACTACTGAATTGCAAGACTCTGTAATTTAACTACTCCAGAAGTTTAAAGTATACCAAATGATTTTAAAATTTTAAAACTGTAAAGATTTAAAAGTCCTTGAACATACCAAACTTTCCAAATATATCGAACAGTATTAACTGAATTAAGTTCAACACACAGTTTAAAAAATTTAAGAAATTTCAAAACACTGAAATCTGAACTCATTAGCCTAGCAAGTTACAATTATACTTAAGAATTGTTAAATTTGATGTTCCCCCTTTTTATTATTTGCAGATAACATACACATTTTTATATAATACTTAAGACAAGGCTAGTGATTAGAAAAATGATGGGAGACTATGGTAAGTGCCATATGATGAAGGGGAGATTCCAACACCCAACCACACTCCAATTATTTGCCCATCTAAATAGAATTTAACATCATGCACAGAAGTTGCTCAAGTCCCCTCAGAACTGAAATACAGTGGAACCTCGCTTAAAGAGCACCTATCATAATGAGTAATTTGCATAACGAGCAAAACAAATTGTAAAAAAAAAATGACTTGCTTAACGAGCAACGTTTCGCATAATGAGTGACAAGAGGGGAAGTCCTGGATTGTGTGTGCTTGCTACATCAGTCTGTGTTGAGCACTCGTTCCTCTAGCATCTTAGTGTCGCTTGTGATCACACATTTTTCCAAACTTGTGTTCAGACATATTTGTGATTTTTTCTGTGCAAAGTTTAATAACTCTTGCAAAAATGTCCCTGAAGAAAAAGTCGCAAAAAGACAGCCATAAGAGAATAAAAATAACCGTAGAAATGAAACGTAAAATCATTGAAAAGCGAGAGCGAGGTGTGAGCATGGCTGATCTAACACACACATACAATCGGTCTACATCAACGATTTGCACGATTTGGAGTTGCATTGCATTTCACAGCAAGAAGTTGTGGAGGAGAGTTTGTCAGAGAAGGAGGAGGAGGTAACAGCAAAGCAACAATCTTCTGGTGCAATAAGAGAAATGCTGAAAGAATGGGAAACTGTTGCATCATACATTGAGAAGCATCACCCTAATAAGGCAGTGGCTATGCGTGCTACAAATTTATTTAATGATAATGTTGCGTCACATTTTCACCAAATTTTGAAGCGTCGGCAAAAACAAATGTCTCTAGACAGCTTAATAGTAAAAGGAATTAGATATGTATCGTAAAGTAAAGTAAAGTAAAGTAAAGCTATCCCTGTAACAGGCCATGAAGGCCCATAGTGTTGTGAGACGTTAAGGGTCCCACCATAAATAATAAACTAATTATTTCGATTTTTTTTGTCTGCAAATTGAATTCGCATTTCAGGTTGCTTCATTCCGCATAGAGGAAAAGATGAAGATGATTCATGCTCCTTAACAATGTATATATAATTTTCTTTGAATAAACGTTATACATAAAATTTTTCGAGTATTTTTTTTTTGGCATGGAACGCATTATCGTATTTTACATTAATTTATATGGGTAAAATTGTTTCGCTTAACGAGTGTTTCGCATTACAAGTAGGTTTCTGGAACGAATTATGCTTGTTAAGCGAGGTTCCACTGTATTTGGAATGTCACCACAGTTGGTTCTATTCACAGCATTATAACTAGTGAAATATAATAGCCCTTTCAGACCCTTAACCCACAATTATGCTGACTAGAATATTATGATGAAATAGCAGGGGAAGAAGAGGAAGAGAGTGAGTAGAAAGGGAAGAAGATACAGGCAAGGGGAGGGAAGAGGAAGATGTGACTAAAGAACAAAATGAAGAATGGTGTGAAGAGGAAAGAGAGAAACTGAAAATATAATAGGCGATGAAGATTATGGATTAAGGAGAGAGGGTAATGAGAACATAAAGAAGGAAAAGAGATGAATGAAGAGGAAATACAGTAGGAGTAAAAGAGGAATAAGGAGACTGGATCAACATTGTTTTTACGGAGAAGCATCACTGCGCTAAATACTGACATCTTCATAGTAACTTGGGTCTAAAAGGGGAACTACATCTACACTGAAGTTTGCTGCTGGTCTCTTTTAATCTTCTGAATCCTGAAGTTCATCTAAATCATATTTATATAGATTCACTTTCTCCATCTCAAAATGCACAAAGCATGCCTATTATAAGATGTTTAATACTATTTGGAGAAAAAATTGCTCTTTACCATAAGAATAATATGAAATATAATAATATATTCTGTAGACAGAATGCAGTGTTTTTGTAGGTTAAATAAGGTGGCATGCAGGGCTGTTTCAAGTCTCAGTACTGCCCCAGGAGATGAGAAATTCCACTCCTTCCCCCAGTTAAAAACAGTTCAACATTCTCAAAACACAATAACACAAAATTCTCAGATATTATGAAAAANCTGGAGGTTGCTTGGTTGCCGTGCGGCAGCGTGAATTGGAGGTTGCTTGATCGCAGTGCGGCAGCTGCTGGTGAAAGGCTAGTCGTTGAGCGCGGTCGCAAGAGCCATGAGGCAANGATGTGACTAAAGAACAAAATGAAGAATGGTGTGAAGAGGAAAGAGAGAAACTGAAAATATAATAGGCGATGAAGATTATGGATTAAGGAGAGAGGGTAATGAGAACATAAAGAAGGAAAAGAGATGAATGAAGAGGAAATACAGTAGGAGTAAAAGAGGAATAAGGAGACTGGATCAACATTGTTTTTACGGAGAAGCATCACTGCGCTAAATACTGACATCTTCATAGTAACTTGGGTCTAAAAGGGGAACTACATCTACACTGAAGTTTGCTGCTGGTCTCTTTTAATCTTCTGAATCCTGAAGTTCATCTAAATCATATTTATATAGATTCACTTTCTCCATCTCAAAATGCACAAAGCATGCCTATTATAAGATGTTTAATACTATTTGGAGAAAAAATTGCTCTTTACCATAAGAATAATATGAAATATAATAATATATTCTGTAGACAGAATGCAGTGTTTTTGTAGGTTAAATAAGGTGGCATGCAGGGCTGTTTCAAGTCTCAGTACTGCCCCAGGAGATGAGAAATTCCACTCCTTCCCCCAGTTAAAAACAGTTCAACATTCTCAAAACACAATAACACAAAATTCTCAGATATTATGAAAAATAAAACTGGCAGTGGTACTGCAGTTCTTAAAATAGTAAGCAAAGAAACAGTAAAATGTACAGGACCATCCAGTCACAAGAGTGAGAGTGCTGTTGCTGGCTTCAGATTATAGAATTAGACAGCAATGCTAGCACACACAGTTCGTAGTTATATTTACCTTTTGTGTACAAAATAGTGATAATGAATGATTATGATTTGAACAAAGAGCAACAGAAATTAATTGTAAATCAGCAGACAGCCAAGGAGAAAGTAGCTGTAAATGTGCTACCATAGGAGGCAGCTTGGTTCACTTGTTCTGCCATGCTGGCCCTGATGGTACACACTATATGCAGTAACCATTGTGCTTTAAGGAGTTAAAAACTTCTAACCAAATTGGTCCCCAACTTTTGCCTTTCCTGAAGTAATATGTTCATGGTAGACAAAATTAATTTAAAATTAGCTCTTGAAGGGCTGTAAATACAAATAATTTAAGAAAATTAAACTTCAAAGACCGAGATGTTGCCCTGAATTCAGCAGATGATAAAATAAGTTCATATAACTTTTCATGAATCACATAATTTCACAATGGGGTTTAAAATTTTTATTTAATTCATTTTAATGGTTTTTTGATCAAACTAAGACCTAGTGTGCAAAACTTGTAACAGAAATATTTTATCCTTAAATATTTTGAATCAATCATACTTTGATACACTTTAAATTTGAAACTGTATCTTGATGAATGTTATATCCATAACATTTCTGACTGCCAAAAGATCTGAATGCTTCAAGGGTAAGATGTAAACTACATATATGAATGTAAGAGGATTGTTCAAATGAAACCTATTTGTAAGTAGATTCTGATTGGATGAAGATGTCAAGGTCTTGGTGGTGCTGCAGTCCTAGCAGCAGCCCAGAGGGTTCTTTGTGGAGGGGATCCATCAGCTGCTGCCTCAGTACTCATGGAGAATATTTTTAATTCCCTCTTCTTTGCCCTAAACAAATCCCAAATTAGTTTCATTTCAGATCTTTTACACTATAAACACATAATACAAACAAAAATATTTTGAGGTGTAGGCATTATGTTGAGAAGGGTTTCTAACACATTATATAATAATGCTGTAGTCTTTTGATTGACAGTAATACTGAATTGTAAACTGATGATGGTTGCATTTGGAGCACATTATTATGACAACTGTCAATGACTTCCATATTTAATTTTAATTATACATTACATGTTATGTTTGGTAGTTTATTTATGAATACTGTCAGTAACTTAGGTTGTGTATAGTGTGAAATTGGAGCCGGGATAGCACAGTTGGTATAGTGACTGGCTATGGGCTGGATGGCCAAGGGGCCGGAGTTCGAGTTCCAGTACGGTCAAGAATTTTCTCTTTTCCATGTTGTCCAGACCGGCTCTGGGACCTACTCAGCCTCCTATCCAATTGGTACTGGAGGATCTTTCCCCGGGGGTAAAGCGGCCGGGGCATGAAGCTGACCACTCACGTCTAACTAGGGCTGAGGTCAAGAAAACGTGGATCTATATATCCACTCCCCATACGCCTTCACAGGGTAGTGCTTAATTAGTTAAGGACCGGGACAACTTTACCTTTATAGTGTGAAATGGTTGGATGGCAGTGAATAATGAATTTGAAAGGATTTGGAAGGAAGCAATCATGGCATAATCCGGTGTGCTATCTTGGCATTTGCCTAGAGGGACTGAGGAAGACCATTAAAGCTGCAGTCATGACAATTGGTGTCCCTGCTGAGATTCAAGTCAGACACGTGAATTCATATCAGAAGTGTTACCACTTGAGGTAACTTGGTAACTATATGCCACAACTGATTGCTACATATATGTGTCATCTTGTTTTTAAGGTGGAGCCTGGAACATGTTTCCAACGACTGATGGGCACTGTGAAAACTGGAGTAATCCTTAAAGATGTATCCTTAGAAGTTCATGGAGGTGAAGTCCTTGCCATACTGGGTTCAAAAGGTGAAACAAACAACTTTTCTCACAGATAATAGGAATTATATGCAGATAAAAAACTTCCTTACTCTGTATCCAGCTACATGCCAAGTCAGAGATGAAGTTCCCAATTTAAAGGCTCAATCCACCGCAAACACACAGCAACGGACATAATAATACCAAGTGACTCATGTCATCTACAAGAACACAAGATATCTGGTATTAAATACGAGTACCTCATAGATCAAGTAAATAACTACCCCATTACCAGAATAGCAAAATATAATGAGATAAATACTATAAACAACATACTTATAAATAATAAGTACGACACAGATATAATTACAAAACTAACTACAAATAACAGAAAACAAAACACTGTAAGAAAGCAGAACATTACAGAGAATTCAGAAGGACAAAAAACGAAATGGGCAACATTCACATATATAGGAAAAGAAACAAGAAATAATACAAAAATATTTCAAGACACAAAATTGAAAATAGCATTTAGAACTAAGAACAATTTACAACATATATTAAAATCAAGACCACAAATAAATAAATATAACAATGGTGGTATATATAGTATGAAATGCCTAGATTGCCCCATGGAATATATAGGAGAAACTGGGAGGAAATTTAATACCAGATATAAAGAACACATACATGGCATAAGACACAATAACAGCAATACAGGATACTCAGAACACATATTAAACACAGGACATGCATATGGTACTATAGAAAACACTATGGATATCATAGCAACAAATAAGAAAGGGCAATATTTAAACACATTGGAAAACTATCATATATACAGAATGACAAAGAAAAACACGCATATGAACAATATAAATAAAGAAATATATAACCCAATATTTCATGAATTACACACTATTTACATGGAACAACATAACACCCCACCACCTACCCCCACAACATCATAACTCAATCAAAAGGAAGACACACACACACACCACGCACACACGCGTGCACACACACACACACATATATATCCAGTAGTACAACACACAGTCACAGGAGCAAGACATAACAAAGAGCACAGTGAGTATTAAACATTATAAAACCACATGTAACAGATAAAAGTCAGAATGTGGTATTAATGAATAACAATTTCACGCTACAGATAGGAAGGTAGGAAGAGTGCTCCCACAGAGGAGGATTGGCGTGATTCGCGTATTGAGATACGACGTAAGGATGATGAATCCTGAAAAGTTTTAATATTTAAAATTTATTATTATATATGACGAATATATATTTTAGTCATTTTAGAATGAAGACATCAGGGCATGCAATGCAGTTGTTAGACGTGCATAGAGACGCACCTGAAGATGGCACATTAGTGCTGAAACATGTAGTGCAAAAGAGAAGAGTAAGGTGAAAAAGTGTGTGCACTGTAAGACGGTTAGCATAAATCATGGGCTAAGAAGGTTTTGATAATGTGCTGCTTGATCGGGGCTACTGCATGGCTCTTGAGGCAGTGATATATTAGGGTGGAGAAATGGTGGAATGGTGATTAGAAGAGGAAAACTACAGAAACTCAGAGAAAATCATATTCTCTTATCAGTTTATCCACCATGACTCACACAGTCACCAGGCACTGAGGTAATGCAAATGGAAGACTGTTATATCATAAATTAACCCTCACACAGACTTATTATAAAGGCCTCTATTTTTTCATTCCTACTATACACTACAGGTTTCAATCATGAATGTTTATCATCAGGACATGTACACAAATCAGCTAAATACAGCTGTCAGTACAAATTTATTAGAATGTGGAGGATGTTTAAAAATGAATAGTACTATCTTCTGGGATATAATGCCATGTAGTCCGTTGAAAGTCAACCGATGCTTTGGAGGAACATATTACCTTCCTCTTCAAGGTTGAATAAGCCAAGCAAGGTAGTAGGCTTACCATCTGCTTTCACCCTGGTATTTTGCTTGGCTTACTCAACCTTGAAGAGGGAGGCGAAATGTTCCTCTGAAACATCAGTTGACTTTCAACGGACTGCACGGTGTTGTAAAGATTGTGCTCTTAATAACCACTGCTGTGAGAACCTTAAACCCTACATATAAAAATGCAGTTAAAATACTGAGGAATCAGGTTGGATGTGACTTAATTTCACAAAGATGTGAGTCCAAAAATTAGAGTGTTTGTCCAAATATAAGCATTTTCCGATGTATGTAGTTATACATAGCTTGAATTTTCTACATAACTTCACACTTTATGCTCTCCTTCTCTTGGCCTTCTTGGCCAATCGAAGCTAAATTAGAGCTTTAAGTTGTATGTTTGTTTTCTATAGGTATATGGAATAACTTTCTTTGTTGTGTTTTTTTGTTGGTGAGTAGCCAGAGCTGATCAAGGTAGTATCTCTGAAGGCAAGAACCAATGTGCAGATGTAATATAGTGTGGACCACTGAAGACCCATACATGTGATAGAATGTGTGTCTTTGCAGGCTTGTAACTGACATTTTGATTTAGTGTAATGTGTGCCCCTGATGGTGACATTCTATGTACAGAGGATGGACAAAAATATGGAAACAACTTGTGAAATGTATGCCTGAATTGAAGTGTTTATTTTAGCGATGTTTGTAGGTGACGATGTCGTATCTGCCCAACACCACTACCTGTACAACCTCTGCAATATGTTGCAAGCTTCATTTGTTGTCGAGACAGTGTTCTGTGCGATTTTTTGTGCATCACGTCAGAGCTAACAGAATTCGAACGGTGGCAAATTGTTGGGGCCCATATGGTGGGTACTTCTGTAACCAAAGTAGCCAAAGTTTCTGGTGTTTCGCGAAACACAGTATCCAAGATTATGACTGCATACAGGAGGACTGGGAAAAACTGCATCCGATAAATACCAGCGTGGACGGAAATGTGTTTTGAGTGATCTAGACAGGCGAACATTGTGTAGGATTGTGACAAGAAATAAGAAGACTGCATCTGCAAAAGTGACTGCTGAACTGAATGTCACGCTCACAAACCCTGTCAGCACCAAAACAGTATGAAGGGAACTTCAGAAACAGGGTATTTCTGGATGAGCTGCAATTCCAAAGCCACTCATCAGAGATCAAAATGCCACTAAGAGGAGAGTGTGGTGCCAAAGTCATAAAACCTGGATATGGAGTAATGGAAGACAGTCATTTGGTCTGATGAGTCCACCTTCACACTGTTTCTGACTTCTGGCTGAGTTTATGTCTGGAGAACGCCATCCCAAGCTTACGATCCAGATTGTTTGCTGCCAAAAGTGAAACATGGTGGGGGTTCGATCACGGTATGAGCAGCCATATCGTGGTATTCTGTCAGACCTGTCATTACCCTGCAAGGTCATGTCATTGCCAGCGACTATGTGACCATTTTGGGCGACCAGGTCCATCCCATGGTAAAAACTTTGTTCCCCAATGGTGATGCCATTTACCAAGATGACAATGCCCGTGTTCACACGGCTCACATCGTCCAGGACTGGTTTTCTGAGCAATAAGATGAAGTGTCACGTTTGCCATGGCCCTGATAATCGCCAGATATCAATATTGTGACTTGTTGCGCTATGAAGGACACCCCCTCCCTCCCCCAGCAGTGACGTGGCAGCTCTGGCCACGGTGATGTAGCAGGTGAGTCAGCGCTTTGCCCCCTCCCCCTCCAGGCTACGTGGCACCGCCTTCTACTGTGACGAGGCACGCAACGCCGCTGTTGACACGGGCAACAGGCAACAGCGAAAGGAAAAAAATGTTGACTGAGGACAGTGTGAAGAGATTTGTGTGTAGGGTTTGTAAATTGTGGAAACCCATAGCATTGTTATAATTAATTGTAGCCGAGACTTGTAGGTTGTAAAATAAACCAATTAATAATCTGAGCGGCGTCTTCAGTAACGAAACACGTTACAGTACTATTGAGCCTTTGTGGTATGTTTTGGAGAGCAATCTGCGTGCACACTATCCACCTCCAACATCGTTAACAGAACTTGCCAATGTTTTGCAGGAAGAATGGTACAAGATTCCCTTGAAAATCATACAGGACCTCTATTTATCCATTCCAAACAGACTGCAAGCAGTTCTGCAAGCCAGAGGTTGTCCTACTCCATATTAGTCATGGTAATGTGTTTTTTGTTGGGTGTTTCCATTTTTTTGTCCATCCTCTGTATTTGTACAGTTGCAGTCATACTCCGTACCTTGGAGAAAATTTATATTTGGACAAATACTGTCATTTTTAGCCTATTTCCTTTATTTTGAAAAAATAAAAGGAGGCTTATGAGGTCACCTTGTTATCTGTGTCAGGTCAGGTAAATTTCTGCTGGCCCTTGCCTGCACAGTCATTCTTGGTTCCAAGTCCTGTGGGACTCATGTCCATATTTTAGTGTCCCAAGACTCTGGGAGTCGAGCAACCTGCTGTCTGTGTATAACTAATTCCTAATTAATGAACACTGGAAGTTGTCCTGTTTATATATTTTCAGGGCGGACTGCTGAGAAAACGCTGCCTCCAACAGTTGCATGTGTAATTTCATGCAGTTGTATCATATCGTTGTGTGTCCCTGGTAACGTGACAAGTAAATTCATGCAGGTCTCAGATTTGGCGAATATTTTTATTGGACAATCTCTCTTACACTCCCAAGTACAATTATTCTTCACTTATAACGTCGTTTAGAGGTTTCCTCTTCTCTCTTATAAATTCTTGCACTGCTAATCTCGGTGAAGTGTCTTGATCCCTTTGTTGGATGCGAGTTTGCTTCTGCTGTAGTCGGAGCTACACTAAAAACTGACTGGTCTCATTGAAACTGGACTCTTATAATGTGCACTAGGACTGAATAGAGCGCACCATGTAGGAGGCTTTGTTTTCGGCCACTGCTGTGTAATGAACCTCTTGGTGTCCCTTCTTCTCCAGGGAAATGCATTTGTTGTTTAAGCGATTCCTAGGCAACGCCCTGCTGGTATTCCATTCCCTCTGAAGTATACATGTTTATCACAGCCGTTGTCATGCAGCTGCCTAAAACAATTCGTTGCTTAGGTTTGCTAGTGTACGGATTCCAAGGCACTGCAGCAGGACCACTGGTCATTGCCTAGGAAATCAACTCTGATCTCCTCCACCATTCCGGCTTTCTGGTGGCACGCCACAATATTAAATGAAAGTAGGTCATCAGTTCTTCCCACAACTTCTTGTTATAAGTATTCCTTTGTAAAATTAAGTCATATCCAATGTGCATTATTATTATTTCAACTTCATTTTTATACATCTCCATATTTTAACAAATCTGTAATCATAGTCCATATATATTTGGCTGGTTTTTGTATATCATCCGATAATGATGGTTTACAGCCAATACATGATGTATATATTGGCAATAAAAAGTAAAAAAAATGTTTTAATGCAAGTTTGCATGACAGTTAATTTTATAACACATACAGGATGCAGTCATGTAGGAAAGATTTTTATGCTTAGGGTCAGAGCAGGCACAGAAAAGGAAGCGCATCACCTGCAAAATGTTAAGGAGGAAAAGTAATTGGTTGAATGAAAACTGATGCTGCATCACCTGTGAAAGCTAGTATTGCTTTCAGACCCAACACACAAGAAAAAACCTTCTCTTCCACTTCATTGTTGCCCTTTTCTTCCTTTTCCATTTTTCCATTATTTCTTACTGCCCTTCATCCTTATTTCTCACATCCTATACAATCTACTCTTCCTCCTTATCCACCTTATCCCCTTAGTCCATTTCTCTTTTTCCTTTTCCCCCCCCCCAGTTGGGAACTCAGGGTCTGAGGTTACTAAGGAAAATTATGGTGCTTGGAGCTTATTCCTGGGAAACAGTGACCTCTATCTGTTCCTCATCCCCATCAAAAGATTCAGAGCCATGAGTAGTCTACATACTCCAAACATCTGTGTACTCTTTATCTAGCCATAATGCAGTCTATGAAGCAATTACATCAACTTAATACTCATTTTAGGTAGTGGAAAGAGAGCTCTATTAGAAGTGATATCACGTCGTGCACAAGGCCCCACAAGAGGACAAATCCTGCTGAATGGTGCACCCATGTCCCTACGACTGTTCCAGCAGAACTGTGGTTATGTCACTCACAAGTGTGATCTCCTGCCTGGACTCACAGTAGAGCAAACATTGCACTATGCTGCCCATCTCACAATTGGTTCAAAGGTTTCTCTTTATCTCTGATTCTCTTTGCATTAATAAATATTTTTAGATGTGGTCACAATTCTGTGGAACGTCAATTAAGTTTGCTACGCCCGTCCGTCCACCTGTCTGTGGGCACAGAAGTACTCATGAGCTGCTGGAGAGAGTTTCATGAACATGATATTGGGGAGTTTTATGAAAAACTGTCAAGACATTTCAGTTTTAAATTAGACTGAACAAATGGAATGGCCACTTCATATGAAGACCTACATGCATTTCTGTTCATATGTCAAGGACATCTCATGAAATATTTGTCAGAAAGGGTAGTGTCTCCAAGTTACAGAGGGAAATGAAACACACTTTTTATGTCTAATAAACTTTCTCTGTGAGTGTTACAGTTTTGAAGATAATTATACAGAAGTGATTTTACAGATACATTATTTCTGAACACGTACAGGCAGTGATCAATCATGGCCTCCTAAACACAGCTGCCATTAAGAAGAAAAATAAAACAAAGCCCTTACTGAGTTTTGACAGTACTAATATCATATTTGTTTTATTCTTTCTATAGAGTGCTCTATTATATCATGACTTTGAAGCTACATGAAACAAATTATATATATTTAAGTTTTGTTTAGTGTGTGTAATAACAGTGAACACTGAAGAACTAATACTGATTGTTTATTCATTCAGTAAATAATTTTGGCTTCTAGTTAGTTTGAATATCACTTAACATTCAATATACACTGTATGTGTATGAATTTAATGTTCATTTATTGTAAAGGAAGAGTTCATTGTAACCTTAAATGTTTAATTTTTAATCCCTTTTGCTAAATACCCCTGCTAAGTGTGTACACTACATACTTTTACAATCTTGTTTTATGCTGAGGATGATACACATAAATTTGAGAAAACTGAGAAGAAAAGTCAGTTAAAATGTCTTTACCACAAGGAAGTGAGAAAAGTCATTTAAAATGTCAGCTCAGGGACATTAAATTTTTAATGTTGTGTCTGCAGTTGCTGAAAGTAGCTCAGAAAATCTTTCAATATTATTTTGTACAAAATTTATGCTGTACTTTAAATATGATTCATTATAACTAAATATCAATTTCATTTGCATCAGTTTTTAGATTATTTCTTGCAGTGGTGAACTTGCTTTACAGGTATCACGGTATGTAAAGAGATCAAGAATGAAACAAGTAATGGCTGATTTAGCATTAACCCAGGTGGCAAACAGGGCAGTTAGCGACTTGACTCAAAGTGAATACCGGAGACTTATGATTGGAGTTCAGCTTGTAAGAGACCCAGGTACTAAGTAGAGTTAAAATAATATGATCATAATCAGATAAGTTTTATGTAACTATCAGGATAGCTCAGTTAGTATAGTGATGGGCTACAGGCTGGATGGCCTGGGTTCGATTCCCAGCAGTGCAAGGTTTTTTCCTTCTCCACAGTGTCCAGACCAGCTCTGGGGCCTATCCAGCTACGGCCCTTACCCTGGGAAGGGGCGTGAAGCTAACCACTCACCTCCATCTAGTGCCAAGGTTAAGAATGGGGGAGCTATAACACCACTCCACCATATGCTTTCATGGCATAGTGCTTAACTAATTAAGAACAGGGACAACTTTACCTTTATTTATGAAACTATGTAGCTTAATGACTACTGTGTGATTGATTCCAACATGCTGATTGAGAAATTAATTATCCCAACTCAAATACAACAGAATAAGATGATGTGCATTGTGACCCATATACAATAACCAGTTTCCACTTCTACATCCATCTGAGATTTAGGGTTCTCACATCTAGAAGAGTATTGTCTTCTGAGTATGCCTTTGCTGACATTTCAGAGGGAAGTACTGCTTCCATGTTTAGGATTGATGCAAACAGATAAGCTGAGAACTTCAGATCTCAAGTAGAAACTGCAACAGTTTACAACTTGAATCTTTGGATTTCAGTTGTGCTTCTGCTAGATGAACCAACCTGGGACCTGGACCCTCTAAACACGTATCTTGTGATTTCCATTCTTTCAAACCACGCTCGAAAGTATGGGCGGGCAGTGATACTGACAATGGAAAAGCCACGGTCAGATGTGTTTCCATTCTTGGATCGTGTCGCATATCTCTGTCTGGGAGACGTGGTCTATACTGGTGGCACAAGACTTATGTTGGACTATTTTCGGTCTATTGGATTTCCTTGTCCAGAGTTGGAAAACCCCCTGATGTATTACTGTAAGTATGGACAAAATAACATATTTGGAAGTTAATTTAGCAAATGTTAAAATGTTAAAAGTTAAATCAGTACTTGTCAACTTACAGGGGCTGGCTGCCAAAAGGACAGCATACAGAACAACAGAACTGAGCACTTAGAAATTTACATTCATGTGTAAGATGATGAAAACAATGAATTATTGAAAAATATGGATAATAAAAATACTGTTGAATATAGAAAGTTGGAAACATGTAGTGTCTGGTTTGCTTAATTATCTTGAATACCATAAGATTTACAGTAAGATGTATTGTACCTGAAGTGTGTTGTGTTTTTCTCTATGACTTCCTTTTGAAACACTCTTTCCTCCTCTTGCTCCAGCTGTGAATCGAACCCTGGCTGTCCGGCTCAAGCCCATCGCTATACTGACTCAGCTCTAAATCACTAAAAAATGTTAATTTACATTTGAATATATGTATGTGGGTAAGAAACAAATGTTTATTTGTGTGTGTATGTAACTGAACAAATATATTGGTTAACAGCAATCACAAAGCTGCATCACAAGGAGCAATGCTACCTCCCAGTTTGTTCTTGATTGTTGCAGTTGTTCTGTGTGTTGTTTTCGTCATTACAGCATGATATGTTGCAGTCAGCCATTTTACAACAGAATGATATATTTGTCATATGGGTGATTCCCCTCTGCCAAAAATTGGAAGTCTCTTATATTGTGAGTCCCTAAGCTGTGGCTTGTTGCAATTATAAGTAAATGTGTCACTGAACATAGAAATAACTGCCAGTACTAGTTATAAACTGTTATAAAATGCGAGGGTTGGAACTTTAATAGTGGCACCACTACTGTAGAGACGCCATGCAATGGAACCAAATAATGTTGCTTATACCACACGTTAGTTACATACCTACTTTACCTCAGAGCAAATGGACTCTCCCTTCCCACATCATGCGCATGCGCAGTGACGAAAAGAACAGAGACTCATGTTAGCTGGCGGTCTAATGTAGTGTTGTCACGATGTTTTCGAAACGGGAACAGTGGAGTTGGATAAAGATTGAATGTGCCAGCGGCCATACAGCATGACAGTATCATCAAGGTCTCCAAGAGGCTTGCAGGGAATCTGCATTGCCTTACAGAACAGTGGAAAGGTGGGTAAAAGCCTTCAACGAGGGATGCCAAGATGTGGCAGACATGCGTCAGACAGGTTGTCCTAGTGTCAATGAAGAAGAAGTGTATGCCCTTTCCAGGTTACTGGAGCGTGATTGACACCATACGAATCGTGAAATGGCCCTAGAGACAGGATTAGCACATACAACTGTGCTTCACATTTTGAAGGAATGCCTGGGCATGAGAAAAATTGCATCATGATGGGTTCTGCATGATTTGACGGAAATGCAGAAATGGCAAGCTGTGGCTGATTTGTTTGATCGATGGGGCTGGGAAGTGCTGTCCATCCACCATACTCCCCAGACTTAAGCCCTTGTGACTTTGACTTGATGCCTAAGATGAAGGAACCACTTCGTGGCATTCGCTTCAGAACTGTTCCGGAGATTCTTCAGGCAGTAGACCACTCCATTCGAACTGTCAACACAACAGGCGTTGCTAAAGGTATCCTACAACTTCCACATCGCTGGCAACGGGTTGTACACAATGCTGGTGACTACATTGAAGGACAGTAAAACTTGGAAACATGCATCTATTTTGTATCAGTTGTAAATAAATAGTTGCCTCTATTAAAGTTCCAACCCTCATATTTATGTCTTGAAATATTTTACAGTCACCACCACAACTCTGTGAAAAACCCTTCTTCACTTAATCCTATATTGGGCCTCTCTTGTTCTGCCATGCTTATGTTCAGTGGATCGCTGACTGTCATAATTATAAGTATTCGCATGAAATTTGGGGTTCTCATGGCAGTGCATATCAAGGGTACAGTCTTCTGGGACATGATACCATGTAGTGTTGTAGTTCTGGAGGCACCTGCTGCCTCTGTCATCAGAATAGAAGGCAGTAAGCTACCAAACTATACAGTATCGTATCATTATGAACTCCCCTGTTGGAGGTGCCAGAGTTTCAGTTTAATTTGCACGCTTTATCAAAAGAAGTAACTTTTAAACGATTAAATATTTGTCAGCTGATCTTCCTTCATGAAATTTGGGTCTACCTTGATTGTGTGTGATGTGACACTGGTAGCTGATGCAAATACACAAAACGAGAATTCTCCCAGACCTGCATGGCATGACCAGAAAGGAGCTTGCAATTATCACTGTGATATGTGGCATCTGTTTGGTGTTATTCAGCGATCAAGTTTCATTGCATTTTGTTGCTGTGAGAACTACAGACTTTAAATTAATACACACATGAATTAATTTAACATAAAACTAGACTTTTACTAGAATAAAACTAAAAAAAGTAAAGCTATCCCTGTAACAGGTCGTGAAGGCCCATATGGTTGTGAGACATTGGGTGTCCCACATTATCTAGACAATCGGCTCAAAGATGACAGTAAGGTTATCAGCCTTATGCACCGGCTGTGCTTTACTCCACAGGAAAATTATTTAACTAATTCCTGGTACTCATTTCTGTTAGAAGCTGAGTCAACCTCAGGGCCATAGTGTGGCTGGAAGGATTAGGTCAATTGAAAAAAATCCAATGACCTCATCGGGACTTGAACCTGCGACCTTCCTTCTTGTAGCATAGTGCCTCAACCAACTACACTACTGCTAACATATATCATATATCTACATAAATAGAAGTCAGTAATTGTGTCTGATATATGTATACTGGATGAGACTGTAATCTTCAGACTTGCAAGGAATCCAGAAATCCCAAAACACTTAGGGCACAGTACACAGCCCACATCTGCAGCAAAAATGGTAGCTACTACTGTAGCAAAAACATTTACTATTTACTCTATAGTGTGCGTGCAACACAGTGGCCAGTATGCTCTGAACTGACGCTGTGCATAGTAGGCAGGTCTATTTCCCTTCCCTTTCTCCTCCAACCCCATTCCCTCAACCCTCAAGTCGCAAGATTAAAGTCTCCTAGAGTACCTGCATACTTTTAATTCTTAGAATGGAATGAGCCTAGTCCCTTGGTACTGCTTCTGGAAGGAGTGCCAGTCCATGATGATAGATGCAAGTATGGTGTATTGGAGTGACAGGTGGCACAGGAAAACTGATGCTCAGAGAAAGAGATATATCAGTGTCACTTTGTTGACCACAAATCCCACATGAACTGTTCCAAGACTGAAAAAATACAAATGTAATCATGTGTTAGCATTCTAATCTAACAACAGGTTCAATGTTTGCAGTGTGTCTTTCTACAGTTGACCGGCGATCAAGAGAACGTTTCATTGAATCCAATCATCAGATAGCAGCCCTTGTAGAGAAGTTTAAATTGGAAGGTGGACCTTTCCGACATAAAACTTCTACAATGGCTCCTGGTGGAGTGCAGATCATAGACACAGGTGCAGACCCCATGCAAATGCCCAGCATGGGGGTCCCCACTGCTGTCGGGGGATCCACCACACCTTCGTTAGCCAACAACAAGGTCCCACTGTCTGCATTTGGAAGACCCAATGCCTTCACAGTAGCCTTCACTCTTTACATGTAAGATTGTGTGACCTTTGGTGTACTTAAATATTTATTTGGATTAATAATGCACTTTCCTTAGCTGAAGAAGGTGGTGATATTAGGTTATGAACCATCAGAAACTGTGAGAAAGCCATGTGTTGTTTAACTTTATGGGCAGAGCTTTTTCTGATAATTATGTGCCAGTACACATACTACCAAATTTGTCAGAAGTTGCACATCTGTTAGTAACCACGAGGTTATGAAGTTGAGAATGAGAGAATCAGCAAAAGGGTTTTAGAAAAGGAGTGTGGATTGCTGGTAAATATAAACTAACGCTTGTGTATAAAATCATGGCATAATATTTTTTGTTTTACTAGTCAAGAAATGGAAAATATTCTGTATGCCACACACTCTTCTTTTTGAAGAACTGCTTCTTTACATAATTATTAAATGTAAAAATGTAAAGTTGTCTCTGAGCTGAAGTAATTAAGCACTGTGTTATGGAGACATTTGGGGGAGTAGAGGTGTAGCTTTTGACAGTCCAAACCTTTTAAAACTCTTCAATGGACACTATGTTCCTCTTTAGCCAATACAATAGAGTGACTGATTTATTGGGGAGACCGATGCATTAGCAGGTAATGACTTGCTTTTCGCATTTGGACAGGAACAACTGCCTTGTTTTGTTACCTGCAGCTTGGGTGACCGCAAAAGGGACCTGGCCATTAACAAAAAGGCAAGTCTGTAGTTTGCCGAAGATGTAAATTTTGTTTTACTAATAGGGTAGCTGTTATAAAAGTGTCTTCGGAAGGGTGTAATTGGACCCTAAACTAAGAAATAACCGCTTTCACATGTAGGGTTCCGGGTTCAATATCTTTGGATCTCTTTATTCTCAAAGTTAGTAATGTGATTGTCTAGTGCTGATGGTATGATGAATTGGCAGTTAAAATCGGCCATTAGGAAACTATTCTTGTCTGGGAGAAAGGCCATCCGTTCAAATCCTATACAGTGGATGAAGTGATGCTCCCGCAGGATAGAGTGGGCAGAAGGACTTGGCATTTAGAATTCATCAGAGGCAGATGTCATTGGGCTGCACTCTTCAAGTTTATCTAAATTTAACAGTCTTTATTTGGTTCGATTAATCTTTGATAATAATAAAAAGGGCACATTACTCCATACTTGCCAATAAAGTTATAGTGTTTGCTTCTGAAATAAACAATTTGTGATTAAGCAGAAAATAGTGTCTTTGATTTGTATCAGTGGACTAGCTTTAAATGGCAGTTTCCTCGTTGCCTCAGTTATTACTGTGACACAACCCTGAGAAGAGTCAAGTGTTCTACCGAAGCGGGCAAATAAATAAATAAATATAAAGATAGGTAGGGGATGGTCACAAGAAGTGGCAGCCTACGTGAGCGGTTACAAGCTCCATCATTCTTGACCTCGGAATTAGATAGAAGTGAGTGGCCAGCTTCAAGCCCCAGCCACTTTACTCCTGGGGAAATTGCACTGGTAGCCATAGTGAAGGGGACTGGGTGGACCCCAGAGCCAGTCCAGACACTGTGGAGAAGAGAAAATTCTTGCCTCTGTTGGGAAACAAACCCTGGCCACCCAGCCCATACCCTGTCACTATCCCGACTCGTACCTTTGCAGAATTATTTTGGTTCGCAAACAAATAAAATGTAATCAGTGCTGTTTCAGCTGCTTAAAAAGAATAAATAAATAAACCCATTTTATGTAAGATTTGAAGTTGTCGCGGTGTGACTAGGAAGAGTACTATCTATACCATGTAATCTGATTAAAGATTACTGCTGTTTCAGAGAAATGTATATCTTCCATCATCAGGCTTTATTAGTAAGCAGCATTGTTACTTGCTGGTTTGCTTGGCTTACTCTTTGACCCTGAACACTGAGGCAGTACATTTCTCCAAAACATTGTTGAATTTCTACCAGTTCACAGAGCATCACATCCCCTAAGACACCACTCATCATCATCTTCATAAATTAGGCTATGTGTGGCCTGTTCCATCCTCTTGGAGAGTATGTTGATTCGTCCACCTTAACTGTGGGTTCCCTAGGTTTCATCATTTTATTGGGTTTATTTTTAAAATTTTCTTTGGATTTCATGTAGCTTCCATTCATAGAACATGATATTTCCTCTGCAATCTGGATTTTGCTACTTATGTTCCTTATGTTGCATGCTCCATTCTTCAAAATTTTCATTTTGGCAGTTTTAAGTTCCGCTTTCTCTCTTTTTTATTATTTTTTTTTGTCCAAGATTCAGATCCATATCTAAGTACAGGTACTGTCATAGCTTTATAAAATGTATGTCTCTTTTCTTGTCGTTATTCAACATTGTTTTTTGTTCTTGTTGTACTGTATATCTGTTTAAATCTATTCATTTTAATTTCTAAATCTCTGTTGGTTGGTACCATAACTATGTAGCCAAAGTAATTAAAACTATCAAAGACACTACCGTCCAAATCTATTTTGTGTTTCAATCTTCATGCAAAGTATCCTTAATTCTTATTGTAATACATTAGAGCTTTACCATGAAAACATCAAATGTCATATTGCCACTTTGTGTGGCACATACAGACATGTCATGTTTATTTCCTATGGAGTATCCACACTTCTTTCCATATTCACTCATATAATCCCAATGCTTCCATCTGTTTTTATTCTAGGAGGAACCTAGCAGCTACTTTCAACCTTCATGTCACAGGCTTAACTCACATTTTCCTGCGGCTACTAGGACTACCTGTTTTCCACTTACTTTTATGGATATTCTATAGTGGAATGGAGGACTACCAAAGAACATTTGTTACGAGGAATGGGCTAATATTCAACTGCCTAGCAGGAGCCTACTTTGTGGCCATCATTGTGACAGCCTCTACATGTAAGTGTGTTTGCATTTTGTCACAGGGTAAATGTTCGGTATAGGCAACTCCCAAGATTTGATCCTTCCAGATTCAGCCAACTCATCCCTATGAAACATTGGTGTATACCAACCAGGAAAGATGACATCTTGTCACAGAAGGCAGTAATCTTCAAACCAGCATACTGATTGAGCATTTTGTTGTTGCAGTTCCTGCATTCCGGACACGGTACTATCAAGAGGCTCAGGAAGGTCTTTACAGTGGACCCCTGTTTCTCTTAAGCTACTGGCTACTGGCTGTGCCATTTGCGGTGGTATCTGTAGGAGCTGCAACACGCATCACATTTCTGTGGGTACTTCCTCATAGCCAGCAAACTAAAAGTCACACTAGCCAACCAACCAACCAACTCCATGGAGCTGAGTCCTTCTTGATAAGCCATAAGTTGCTCAGTTACTCAAGAACTGGCAACATTTTATGAAAACCAAAGATTCATTACCATTAATACAAATATTTCCGGACATTATCCATCATCCTGTCTCTATCTGGAAACACCGTCCTGTTCATTTTTCAAAGTGTAACGTTTCAGAGACTGGATTCTGTCTCTGCCTTCACGTAAAACCTACTCAGTTGGGCCCAATCAATAGACGGTGCTTTTAGACAGAGACACAATGATGGATGATGTCCAGAAACATAATATTTGTACTAATATACCATCGTCACAAACTTTTAGATCTTATTCATTACCATGTTCACAAGAGCCTGTCACTGGTCTGTATCCTGAGCCAGATGAATCCAGTCAACATCACCCCACCTTATTTCTATTTCTCTACAGTATAAAACTATTAAGTCTGCATGTTAGCTATATGTTAACATTGACTCTAGCAGAGAACATAAAAAGAGGAATGGATGAATGAATGAATGAATAAGGGGATGGCCAAAACAGCCCTTACACTAGAACCTACCTTGATCCAGTGTGTGTCTCCTAGCACTCCCACTATGTTACTCATGAAGGCATCTGAGCAGTGGCCTTTTCCATACAGTAATGTCTCAGGTGATGGATTGTTAAGTTAGCTAAGTCTCATAGTTACATGGGGCATGCAAGGCCATTTTGTCTTCAGTTGGGTACTTTCTCCTGGTGTTGTTCTGGTGAAAGGGGGACTGCCATCCAATACTGGTACTAGCAAAGAGTGTATGACAGTAAAAGCAGGAACTGCATTGCACATGTATGTAAACACATGAACAAAACAAAGCTGCACAAAAATTAAAAGCCATCCCTGTAACTGGCCATCAAGGCTCCCACATTTTCTAGACAACTGGCTCACAGATGGAGGTGAGGTTGTCAGCCTTATGCACCGGCTTCCCTTTACTCCCAGAAGATTCATGGGACTCATTTCTATTAGAGGCTGAGTTGATCGCAGGACCATAGTGTGGCCAGAAGGATTAGGTCAATTGAAAAAATTCAGTGACCTCATCGAGAATAAAACCCACAACCTTCCAGCTTGTAGCATAGTGCCTCAACCAAGTACACTACCATGTGCCCCCTCCCGCACATAAATAAGCCTTTGTAATATCCTCGTACAGGGTGTCCCAGGAGGAATGTGCCAGACTTCAGGAGGGTGTTCCATATGTTAAAGTATGCCTATATAACCCAAAACACCTATGTCCAAAGTTGAACAGTTAGTTGAACAGTTACGGAGATAATGGCCAGAGAAGTGTGAAACTTTGACAGGTGTTACACACTTGTTGATTACCAAATACACATTAAAACTGGCAGGAATATGTGGTTTCTGTAATGTTAATAATGTACATAGCATCAAACTAACTTGTGAATGACATGAAGTCATTAAATTGAACTACAAAAAACTTGCACGCCATCTCATAGTTGTCCTTAGGTTTGAAGCACTATACATGACACATGGATGGCAAGCGCTGACATAACATGGCAGACTGCACATTCTGGTATAAGCCGACTACATAACTACTAAAATACATCGTGCCGGGTAAAGACGCCTCATCACTGAATAAAGTGACGCTTATCAGTTCGGGATGAGCTTTTATCCAGTGGCACAAATCAATATGCTGAGCATGGTCACCTGGTTCCAGATGTTGTACCCTTTGATCATGGTAAGGATACAACTCTTCGTCATGTAAAGTTTGCCACACCTGCATATGTGATATGCCAATGCAAGAGGCCATTCTACAAGTGGACAGACGCGGACTTCTCTGAACCATCTCAAGAATGTTCTCTCATGTGTTTCTCATTCGTACATCCTCCCTTTCAGAGTGCACAGAAACACTCAGAAGAGAACCAGTATCACGCAATGTCTGGTGAATTCGCGTAAATACACTTTGAGATGGAATCCTTCAATTGGGAAAACGCCTTTGGTATTCTTCAACAGCAGCATGTGCATTGCCACTGCAAAATCCATACACAAAATACCTATCACAATATTCCATGTGTGAAAACACAAAAGGCATTTCAGCAATTCCACACAACTAATTTACCAACCATTCACAACGCGGCCACAATATACCCTGAAGGTAGTACATAAGCTTATGGCTAGTGTGAATCACCACACTCAAGGACAAACATAGATAAGACTTGTCAGTTGACAGGTACAGTGCATGGACCTGCCAGAAGACCACACTTTTTCTCGGGC